GCAGTAGCAATCACTATAATCTGGGACCAATCTATCGTTGATATACATCAATCTTAGCTAGTACTTGATCACTGATTAATTAGCATCGCAATTAATTACGGCGCAACAAAGTTTTCAGCTTTGTGTACGTACGTCATACAACCACAAGTTGCATCCATCAGCTTGTACGTTGCGTAGTACCAGAAAAAATGCAGCTGCAACTTGCAGGCAGCCGCCGGTTGCATGTGTCCTGTGCTAATTAGTGTAATATAACCAGAGTTAACTATGCATAATTGTGTGCTTAATCGGCAACGGAATCGCATGATATGTGTATTCTACCTGCCCAATCTGGCCGCAACGTAGGATGTAAGCAATATAGTGGAAAAATACAGAGCTACAAGTATGTAGCTATAGCTTGCAGTAGTACGTCGCACCCTTGTCTCCCACTGTTGGGTGCATCCTTCCTTTCTTATGCTTTTTTTATTAGACCCAATTAAGTATATCAAATAGTACTATATATTGGTTAAACTATGAAATGATGGCGGCTCGGATTAATTAATCAGTCAATCTGATAGGCTGGAACTTTTTGAATTCACTGGAGTACGTAATTTGCAACAGATGATACATACACTCATGTATAATCCATGCATAAGATTTGAAGCATGAGTGCAGCAACATGTCCCGGTCCATGATGGGTGGCCATGGGCGGGCATGATGCCATGATGTGCTCAATCTTGCCAAGTGCAAATCCTATCTGCTAGAATGACTACAAGGCATATCATTCAGCATTCACCAAGCCAGATAGGAACAACTCGATCGATCTCTGCCCCTTATGTATGTCTATACGGTGCATATTACTCTACAATACACTAGCTAGTGCTTCATACGAGTAGAGCAGGAATATTGAGATGCAATGATTGGCGGCGCACTGCCCGAGGATGATTCGCTCGCCTGTGTTGGGGCCCATGGGTGAGTATCTGCCAATTACCACAAGGAATCAATATCTGCACCCAGACCAACGTGAGCTTGAACTAGGCCTAGGCTAACGTGTGTTGCAAGCAGCAGGGAAGATAGCAAGTCAGTTTTGCACACCAATATAACGGCGGCGGTAAAGCTAGCCAGCTACTTGATGAGTTGACAGAGACTGATGTAGATACACAACCGAAATATGCTACTCCATGGATTTGTGTGGGGGTGGTCACTGCTAATTAGTCCTCCTTCTTAGCCGACCAAATCAACTACCACCACCACCCCCTGCCTTCTCTAGCTAGCCAGGAGCCAACCCCACGCGCAGTCCAGGGCTTTTCACTCACTTGCAAAAGAGATCGATTAGCTCGGCCCCGGCCTGCCCTCTCTCTAACATGTCACTTTCACTGCAAAAAATCGCCTGGTGGATGTGATCAAGGATGTGCGTGCTTCCAACCGGGTGCTTTTGGGGTTATATAAATAAGACCCCAATCAAGCTTACCAAGCTACCAACCTCATTCTTACTTACGACTACTGCAATCGCAATTGCTCGAGCGCCTCATCTCACTCTCTAAAGCATCAGAGAAACAACAGCACCCCTCTCCTCCAACAACCCAAGCAGCCAGCCAGCTCTTTTCAAGCCAGCTTACATCCTCTACTCGATCGGCTAATTTGGTGAGTCCCCACCCCTATGAACATGATATGGTTCTATTTGTCTATATGCACTGTTGTTAGTTAATTAATTTGTTTGGTCGACGGGCCAGCGGGTTCTGCATGAACAAGCTAGCTAGTCATGAGTCATAGCTGATCGATGTGCCTGGCTATTTTTAGAGAAGTGTGGTACCACCAGCTAGCTACTAGTACTCTCATGAAAAAGTGACCAATTAATTCATGCACCATATTCCTGCTGGTACTACTCATCATAGTACCTATCTTGCTTTGAGTTTGAATTATGGTTGAAATTCGTCTCTTCAACAATAATCCTGCTCGACTCACCTGCTGGTCGTCAGACTACATCAATCATGTTGAGTTGAGCCTGAAATTCGTCCATGCAACACGTGCAAGACTGTACATGCACATATACCTCTAGTCCACCACAAAATTGACCGCAGACCCGATCTTGTCTCTCTAACCGTAGTGTAGGTATGCGTCCAGTAGCAGTAGGCCGGCAGAAAAATGATG